TTGATGATTTCCTCAATGTATGCCCCCAAATGCCCTGGTACGGCCGAGAGTGGGGAGAGTCTGCTCTCCCTCTCGAAATGCTCTCGCATGGCTACGCGAATATATAGCCTCTGCCAGGGAAGTCCTACTCACTGCCTTCTCGTGGCGGGGGTGTTGTTTACGAAAGTGAGAGGACGAAAAGCGAATGTCCGGCGCTATAACCGGATTGGTGGGTGTGGAGGATCCATCTAGGGCAGTTGGAAAATCCTAATTCCAAACCAATGGTGCACATAGGCTCCAGTATCCTGATGGAACGAATGGCGAATGAACCTGTTGTTGGTCATTGGCTACCATGGGACTGCATCTCCTCTCGATGCTCCACTGCCTTGTGGATCAGACATTAAGGTCAAAGGCTCGAGGTGTGGCCCCCTAAGAAAACCACCTGCTTCGGTTTGGGCACCCGGGCAGTATCACAGCCCACACACAAATGAATGAAATGACGAACTCTATTGACGATTCTATTCCTGCTCATATTATAAGCAAGACAATTTACGTTATTATTATCATTATTATTATTATTATTACATACCATATCGCTAATTCACCCCCTTTTATCCCCAATTTGTGTAACATTACTTTTCAACTTATGCAGCAGCTCGCCCATGGTGGCAAATCTGTCCTATCTAAACGATCTCCAGTCACTGTCTCGTTGAAAGTGAATGCTTCCACCGATAATGAATACTGAGGCAGTCTTTCTGAAAACACGTACGCCGTTCAAGCTGGCTTCCTTCAACGTTCGCACACTAATGCATATCAGACAACAGATAGGGCTGGCTATGTCTTTGGAAGGTCTTAATGTTGATGTTTGTTGTCTATCCGAGACCCGTATTCAAGACTCTAGTGAAGTACTACAAATCCGCTCTCCATCTGTCGCCTCGAAGAGCTTGTTCCACGTGCGCTTATCCGGGGACCCTGTGGCATCTTCGTCTGGTCTTGCTGACGTTGGTGTCGCACTAAGCGCTAGAGCTGAGGCAGCACTAATCGATTGGATCCCCATTAACAGTCGGTTATCTGCTGTTAGATTAGAAAGTTCCATCAAAGTGAGAAGAAATCGGCGTGAGAAACGGTGTCTTTTCGTCATCTCCGCCTATGCCCCGACAGATTGCAGCCCGGATGCAATCAAGGATGAGTTTTACCATCAGTTAACAGTTCTTCTCCAGAAGGCGCGTTCGACAGATATTGTAGTACTAGCCGGAGACTTGAATGCACAGGTCGGGCGTCTAGGCACAGAAGAGAGTCGTCTAGGTGGCGGATGGGGACTTGTTCGTCGCCGGACAGATAACGGGGACCGTTTGCTGCAACTGTGCACAGACCACAACCTGTTTCTGGCCAGCACTAACTTCCGGCACAGTCATCGCCGGTGTGCCACCTGGCGTCCTCCCTCTGCATCCCAAGCCTGGACTCAGATTGATCACATCGCGATGAGCTACCGCTGGCGTGGTTGTGTACAAGACTGCCGCTCTTTTTGGAGTACCTATCTGGAGTCTGATCATGCCCTGGTCTGCGCCAATCTCAGCTTACTTTTCAGTGGCCGAAGGATTGACCACCACCAACGGATTGATATTAGTAAACTGGCTGCAACTTCTGTTGCAAGTAAGTATCGAGCGGAGCTAGCCTCTAGGCTAGCTACCACCCCACCGAAAAGTATAGATGAGCATTGGTTGCATCTTCACGACGCCATGAAAATGGCGAGTAAAGCCGCTTGCGGCTTCGCGAAACGTCCCGCTTACAAGCACTGGGTTTCTTCTGGCTCCTTACAACTGATGGAAGCCCGTCGGTCTACTCCGGGTGACCGTGAGTTTGACCACAAACGAAGGCTGTTACGTAATGAAATCGGGCAAAGCTTGCGTAAGGACCGGGAAGCCTGGTTGTCGAAGCGTGCTAATGAGATGGAAGCAGCAGCTGCATCTGGTAACTGCCGGAAGCTCTTCCAACTCATCCGAGCCACTGGCAGCAAGAAGTCTGGTGTGAGTGAAACAATCTACGAGGATGACGGGATGCCAATCACTAACATCTGTCGACGTCCTGGACGATGGGCGGAATTTTTCGAAGGGCAGTTCAATTGGCCTGCTGCTCCGGCAACATCAACCAGCTTGTCCTGCCCCCCATGGCCGGTGACGACTGATCCACCAAACGAGGCGGAAGTCCGCAAGGAACTCCAACTCTTGAAACGTTATAAATCACCTGGCCCAGATGACTTACCTCCGGCTCTTTTTAAAGATGGTGGTGACTTTCTGGCTAAGGAACTGACTGCGTTGTTTGGAAAGGTTTGGGAGCAAGAAAGTGTTCCAACATCATGGAATGAGTCGATAGTCGTCCCTATCTTTATAAAGGGTTCACGTTGTTCCTGCAATAACTACCGGGGGATAAGTCTACTTTCGATCGCGTCCAAACTATTGGCTTCTATCATTCTTCGTAGGTTGTTTAAAACCCGAGAACGATTGACTCGCGAGGAGCAGGCTGGTTTTCGTTCTGGTCGAGGATGCATTGATCACATATGCACCCTCCACCAAATGTTAGAACACCGTCATACTTATCGCAGGCCAACTATCGTAGTGTTTCTTGATATTAGGGCGGCCTTCGATTCGTTGGACAGGACTGTTCTCTGGGATTGTCTATTGTGGAAGGGTGTGCCTGAGAAGTTCATTAACATCTTAAAGGCCCTGTATACGAACACCTCAGGCAGAGTGAGGGCATACAACCACCTTTCTCCCTTGTTCCATTCGAGCAGTGGGGTTAGACAGGGTTGCCCAATCTCACCATTCCTCTTCAACTTTGCTATCGATGACATTCTGAAAACAGCTCTGATGGTTGTAAGTAATGGCGGTGTGGATATGTTGCCTGGAGAACGACTTCTCGACCTCGAGTATGCGGATGATATTGTCTTACTGTGCGATAATGCCCAAGGCATGCAATCAGCACTTAATCAGTTGGCAATCAGTGTCCTCAGGTACGGCATGTGCTTTGCACCCTCCAAGTGCAAAGTACTCCTACAAGACTGGCAGGATTCTCATCCTGTACTCACCCTGGATGGTGAGGAGATCGAAGTAGTTGAGAAGTTCGTGTATCTAGGTAGCTATATAAGTGCTGGTGGTGGCGTGAGTGATGAGATTGATGCACGTATAATGAAAGCCAGAGCGGCTTATGCCAATGTGGGCCATCTTTGGCGCCTTCGTGATGTTAGTCTGGCTGTAAAAAGTCGGATTTACAACGCGTCGGTGAGAGCAGTTTTGCTGTATGTTTGTGAAACCTTGCCTCTCCGAGTTGAGGATGTTAGACGTCTCTCTGTGTTTGATCATCGTTGTCTCCGAAGGATTGCTGACATTTAGTGGCAACACCATGTTAGTAATGTAGAGGTTCGGCATCGTGCGTTCGGGCGCAGAGACGATAATTCAATTGGTGTCACCATCTTGAAACACCGACTTCGGTGGCTCGGACATGTTTTACGAATGTCGTCCCAGAGACTTCCGCGTCGTGCATTATTTGCCGACCCTGGGACTGGTTGGAGAAAGGGGAGAGGAGGTCAGTGTACGACATGGTGTCGTGGCATGAAAGAGAGCTGCAAAGGGCTAGCTTTTGTTGGTCCTTCACGACTCCCTGGTTGGGGTCCGAGAGATAGTGCAACACAGTGGCTAGAGACGTTATCAGATATGGCTCAGAATAGAAGCCAGTGGCGATCCTGCTGTAACCTTCTTCTACTTTCTTCATGAAGTGTGGCTATAACTTTCCTAACTGAGAGAGCTCTTCTGGTTGTACATTCAGTTCCCCCCATCATTACTCTTCTCCTTTTCTTTTTTTTCCTTCTTTTATATTTACGCATCTTCTTCCTTCTCCTCCCATTCTCATTATTTTGTGTGGCGCATATGTATCCGGTGCCCTTTGTACCAATATATATGTGATTAAATAAATAAAAATAATCTCCTATCCAACAACTGCAACGTCTTTTCCTAATTTTCTCTTCAGCTGAAAGCTGATCTGTTTTCTTACAATAGGCTGTTGCTGATTGCATCCTACCAACGGACAATGAGTATCTTGTGTAGACGATTGTTTAGAGATACTTGTACTATTTTGATAATTGTTGTAGTTCTCCACGTTTCAGCTCCACACAGTAGAACTCTCTTGACTTTCGTATTGAAGATTGTGACTTTAATATTGGTTGGCAATTGTTTTGAGTCCTATATGTTCTTCAGTTGTAGGAATGCTGTTGTTGCTTTGCCATTCGACTCCTTTACGTTTGCATTGGATCCTCCTTTTTCATCGATGATGCTTCCCAGGTACGTGAAAGATCTCACTTGTTTGAGAGTTTCTCCATCAAGTGTGATTGGGTTGGCGCTCTCTGTGTTGTATTTGAGGATATTGCTTTTTCCCTTGTGTATCTTGAGGCCTATTGATGCAAAGGCTTCTGCTACACTAATTGCCTTCATATGCATTTGTTCGTGTGTATGGTATAGGAGGGCCAGATCATCTTCGAAATCTAAATCTTCTAATTGATTCAGACCTCGTCTTCAGTAAACTACTAGATAATTATTATGTTTAAAAGCCAACCAGATTAAATATAATAATTACCTCGTAGTTTATTGAAGAAGAGGTCTCACTTTGATGAAACACAACGCTTAAAAAGTAGGAAACAAATTTTCGTTCCTATATTATGTTTTTATATTACGATCTGAATAGAGCTCACCGGTAACATGTTCTTATAATATGATTTCCCATTCGATGACGATCATTGCAACCCTAAGTGCTGCAAATATATCTTGCTGTTTAGTCCTAGCCTGCATGAACCCTTTGATCACTGAATGTGTTTTTGAATTGTTGGTTTGTCCTATACAATTATCACCACACTTATTCAAAAGTTTTTATTATTTTGATGATGTAAATTTGTATTCTTTTTTATTCGTCCTTCAGTTTGTTAATCAATTTTCTCTATTAGTTTTAGATTTATACAGACAAGAAAAAATACAATGCTGAATAAAAGTCTGAATTTGTATACATTTCCAAAATGTTACATTTCAAATGTGATTGATCAACTACTAATCAGATCTAAATTTAATAATAACCAATGTTATCTACCTCAGTATTCAACTGCACCCGCTCAAAATGTTGTAAGCAATTCTACTGAACTGACAATTGATAAATCGCCGTATCCAAAATATCTGTCTTGGACAGATCCGCATGAATTGGCTCAATATCTTAGTCAGCGTATTGTAGCTTTAACTAAACATTTTGTTGTGATTGATAAACCACCTAATCTTTCTGTTTGGGGTCATTCACTAGCTAGTCGTGAAGCTATTTCAATGATTAATCCTAAAGTAAGAAAATGGAGTCATGTTTCTTTATAAAAATGACCAAACAGTTTGTTTGGAAACTACCATTCATTATAATAGAGTAAAACAAGAAAGTTGACCTATATAATATTCCTAAAGTTTAAGGTTAATTTATAATGTTTAGTACTTTCTAAGCTTAAGTATACCATCATTTCATTATTCCGGATACATTGGTTGTTTGAATAGTGCGTATAAAGTCAATGAATATACTGATTACGTCAAAGCTTTGAGATGGTGGAGAAGATTTGTAGCTCAGGTGGGTGATTTTTATGTTGGTTTGTTCTCTGAGCTGGATGGTTTGGTCGTGGAGCTTTCATCGTCCTTCTGAACGACATCATCAGCACAACGTCAAAGCTTTATAAATGAGAATTGTAAAGTGGGATTCCTCGGTTCGAATTACAAAGGATTTCTACAAATAACAAATTGTAGTCTTTATGAAATATGCATTAGTCAAAAGCAGATAGACTTTATCATCTCATTGCATTTCACTAACCTTCTGCTACTATAAGAATCTACTTTTTTATATCCTTGCTAGCTTACTGAAATCCATCAACAGACTTACTAAGGGTAAATTACTGATGTAAATTTCATGTTTTACTGCTAAACATTTGTAGAAGATAATATGATATCTTATATTTCGGGATGTAGTTTGGCCTGATACTAAACAGCTTCGAGTTAGCCTGGTAGAATGTCTGGTATAAGTTTCTTCAATTTCTAGGCCAGTAAACGTAATATACTATTTGTGAAAATGTCTATGAACAATATATGTTGTATAGGAGATTTCAGCATTATTGATACATACGTAAAACAAACCAAGGATCATATTAGTTTCCAAAGATTGACAGATTTAATTAAATTACTCTGAACATTTATTGACGTTCGTTCTTTGAAAGTCGTTTTGCTTTAGATCGGTTGTCGTAATTTAATTTCTCTGTAACGATGATATACTTTAAAGCCTAGTGGAATGTGACTATTATCTGCCTAAAATAGTGAAACATCACGTAATGCATAATGTCGCTGCCTCAATTCTTAATATTTAGCTTAAAGGCGCTTTTCTGTATTTATGTAGCTAAATAATTACATGCTGTTACTTGTATGTGTCTTTAAATCTTATCCAACATCAACCCAGCAGAGTTTATTAGGCCACCAAGAAAAAGTGAAATGGTCAATTATGTTTAATTAGTTTGCTCTCCATGATCAAACTAAATAAACAAACTTAGTATTGTTTGTTTGGATCTTCCCATCGATGTGTTTAGGACTGCAACTGGTCAGTCTCTAATTGGCATATGTGCATACTGTGCGTATTGCCTCGATATACCTTAATTCACAAGCATGGTAAGCAGAGATGGATAGTGGCTAGCAGTGGAATCCAGGACGTGCGTTTCGTCCTATTTGGGACTCGTCAGCTGGATGTACCTGCATCTCAGAGTTGATGTTCACTCTGGGACTCGAACCCAGTACCCTCGCTTCAAACGCCATCGCGTTATCCACTCGGCCACTGAGTCCTGATAGCCACTTGCTTGTGCGATGGGGTGAAGTTTGAATTCACTTAGTATTGTTTGTTTGGATCTTCCCATCGATGTGTTTAGGACTGCAACTGGTCAGTCTCTAATTGGCATATGTGCATACTGTGCGTATTGCCTCGATATACCTTAATTCACAAGCATGGTAAGCAGAGATGGATAGTGGCTAGCAGGTACATCCAGCTGACGAGTCCCAAATAGGACGAAACGCGCGTCCTGGATTCCACTGCTAGCCACTATCCATCTCTGCTTACCATGCTTGTGAATTAAGGTATATCGAGGCAATACGCACAGTATGCACATATGCCAATTAGAGACTGACCAGTTGCAGTCCTAAACACATCGATGGGAAGATCCAAACAAACAATACTAAGTGAATTCAAACTTCACCCCATCGCACAAGCAAGTGGCTATCAGGACTCAGTGGCCGAGTGGATAACGCGATGGCGTTTGAAGCGAGGGTACTGGGTTCGAGTCCCAGAGTGAACATCAACTCTGAGATGCAGGTACATCCAGCTGACGAGTCCCAAATAGGACGAAACGCGCGTCCTGGATTCCACTGCTAGCCACTATCCATCTCTGCTTAAATAAACAAACATTTGATTTTGATTTTTGACAGAATTGTTCAATGATGTTTTGCAAGTTTTCTCAATTTGTTATTTGTTTACATTTCAATTTTAATATTTGATACATTACTATTCACCTTTTTTCTAACAATCTTGATTTTACTTATTTCTTTATTCATTCTCATTAATGTTTTAATCATTGAACTAGTTATGCAGTGCATCAGATCTTGGTATTAATGATTGTTTACCACAACTAAACACTATAATCACATCATTGGAACAGGGACAACAGGATACTTCTAATGATGATTCATCGAATTTATCTAGATCTGTTGAAATTCCTAAATTGTATATCATTGAATCTTTGCCAGCTGCTTATTCTGGTCTCATTTTATTGGGTAGAAATGAAAAATATACTAATGCTGCTCGTAAATTTTATAAAACTGCAATGCTTGGAGGTGTAGGTTGTTTTTTTTAAAAATTTTATTTTGAAACTTTTCATTTATTATATTCTACAAGAACAACGAGTCTTAGAGCGAATAAACATTTTTGATAAAATCTCCATCAGGCTTTACAGTTGTGAATCTAAAACTAACAGTATGTTACAATATACACAACGTTAAAGTTGAATTAGTTCATGTCATTGTTCATCCTGGTTAGCGTCTTTTTGAAAGGTTATTTTCTACGGGAAGGGGTTGCTGACCCTATACCCGACCCTCCTTTACCCGGGCTTGAGACCGGCAGTAACCCTAGAAGAGCTACAGGTGGGGTTAAAAACACACGTGAAGCAAGCTTTTCGAAGCGACAGATAAAGAATGAATTTGTAGTACTTTATTAGAGTCTTGAATACGGGTCTCGCATAGGCAACAAACATCGATATTATGACTTTCGAAAGACATAGCCAACCCCATCTGTTGTTTGATAGAGAATGCTGGTTGGCGGCCTATTCTTCTCCATGAGGGGTAACAAGCTTAAGTAGGTAAAGTAAGTAATCCGCATCATTAATTGAAAATGGCAAATTTCCGGTCGGTTCAGTCCTAAATGCTACAAAATAAAATGACGTATTTGGTAGTATTGAGTAAAGGTCATATATAGATGAGGAAAACTATACAGTTTAAGACAATGAGATCTAATCAACAAATTAAAATCGTATGTAAAAAATTATGACCAAATGGAAATTAGTATGGGGGATATGTACATATTGTAGAAGTTGTTAGCTGAAATCACGAAGCGATCTAGACCGCTATTAAAAACTTGAAAGCACTGGAGGGCGGTTTCCCCTTCACATAGGGTTCCTCACACTCATCACACACACGAGACCGAAAGTTCTGTGTTCGATTCCCACGTGCGGGGTAGTGAACGCACACTACTGAGGCTTGTTATACTTGGATGAAACAGCTGTCCAATGATTCCAGGTCTTCAATAGTGGTCTAACTAGAATCACGTGATTTCAACTGTGGAAATAGAAATTGTCGTAGTTGTGATAATAATAATAAGGACAATAAGAATTGTATTATTTTATAGTTTATTATTTTAACCGTAACGTTTACATTTACCGATTATCTATTACATATACTTCACTATCCATATCATCAGTGAATTATATTTGTCATTGAGTATAGTTTGCTTAATTTGTACCATATTTTTTAATTTTAAAATAATAATATTTTTAGTAAAGTTACTTACTTACTTACTTACTTTCGCCTGTTACTCCCAATGGAGCATAGGCCGCCGACCAGCTTTCTCCAACCCACTCTGTCCTGGGCCTTCTTTTCTAGTTCTTTCCAGTTCTTGTTCATTCTTCTCATGTCTGTCTCTATTTCTCGGCGTAATGTGTTCTTTGGTCTTCCTCTTCTCCTTCGACCTTCAGGATTCCATGTGAGGACTTGTCTTGTGACACAATTGGGTGATTTCCTCAAAGTGTGCCCAATCCACTTCCAGCGCTTCTTCCTGATTTCTTCCTCCGTTGGAATCTGGTTTGTTGTCTCCCACAGTAACTTGTTGCTGATAGTGTCTGGCCATCGGATCCGAAGTATCTTGCGTAGACAGCTGTTAATAAACACTTGTATCTTCTGGATAATGGCTTTCATAGTTCTCCACGTCTCTGCCCCATACAGTAGAACTGTCTTGACATTTGTATTGAAAATTCTCACCTTGGTGTTGGTTGACAATTGTTTTGAGCTCCAGATGTTTTTCAGTTGTAGGTATGCTGCTCTTGCTTTGCTGATCCCCGCCTTCACATCTGCATCTGATCCACCGTGTTCATCAATGATGCTGCCCAGATATGTAAAGATTTCCACATCCTCCAAAGCTTCTCCGTCAAGTGTAATTGGATTGGTGCATATTGTATTGTATCGGAGAGTCTTGCTTTTCCCTTTGTTTATATTGAGACCTACTGCTGCTTAGGCTGCTGCTACACTGGTCGTTTTCTCCTGCATTTGTTGTTGCGTTTGTGATAGAAGAGCCAGATCATCCTTCCTTCCTACCTTCTTGTTCCTCCTTGCTTCAATTTTATCCAGTGTACCAACAGTGATCCATTCCTTGTGGTGGTGCTTCTTTTGGCCCAGAACCTCCTGACATGTTGAAACGATTGCCTCCTTGATACCTTTCCAGCTGCTCTCTATGGTGGTTCCCTCTCCATTGAGTAGGTCATGAAAGGCCTCGAACCTGTTGCTGAGGGCTGTGTTAAATTCGTTGAATTTGTCAGCATCTCGAAGAAAGGCCGTGTTAAACTTTTGTGATGTTGTCCGCGCCGTTGTTCACTGCTTCTTAAGTTTTAGTTTTATCTTGGCGACCAGCAAATAATGATCGGATGCTATATCAGCTCCTCTTCTGGTTCTCATATCCTCCAACGTCCTCCTGAACTTTTTGTTGATGCAGATATGGTCGATTTGATTCTGTGTAGTGTGATCCGGTGAAATCCAAGTGGCTTTGTGTATGTTTTTGTGTGGGAATATGGTGCCACCTATGACCAGTTTATTGAAGGCACATAGGTTTGCAAATCTCTCACCGTTTTCGTTCCTTCCTCCCAGTCCATATTGTCCCATGACGTCTTCGTATCCAGTGTTGTGGGGCATTTTCTTCTTCATGACCGGAGTATAACAGAAGTTCTCCTGAAGATAGTCGTTGTTGTCCAACCTGCGTCTAATGTGTTTCATTGATTCCAAGAACCTCCAGGTTGTATTTTCTCATTTCTGCAGCAATTTGGAAAACTCTTCCGGTCTCCCACATTGTCCGGACATTCCATGTACCTATAAAAATTGTCGCTCTGGTTGTAAGAAGGTGCATCGGCCTCATGACTTCCGAAGGAACTCGGCTTTCATCATGAGACGTCATTTTTCCTTCTACTCCCAGGGCAGAGTTTGAATGGTTTGAATGATTTTTTCTGGTTAGCGTTTTTTTAGCGAGTTGATTTTCTACGGGATGGAGTCGCTAACCCCATGCCCAACCCTCCTCCTTTACCCGGGCTTGGGACCGGAAGTAGCCCCTGGAGGAGCTACAGGCGGAGTTTTTTAGTAAAGTTGGTTAGTGACTAATAGTGGAATTCAAAACACGTTTCGTTCTATTTAAGAATTGACAACAACGGCATAAAAATTCAAGCTCTTACAAATAAAATTCATTTATCCATTACACAAGCTAGTGGTTATCTGAACTCAATAACCCAATAACTAACGCGCCGATTTTTGAAGCTAATGATACAAAGTTCAAGTCTCTGAGTGACCATCAACACTTGGATGGCGGTAAGTTCAGCTGGCGAGTCTCAAATCGAATAAAACTCGCGTCCTAGGTTCCACTGCTAATATCGAAGGTATTCTTTCAAGGTGCATATATATCAACTAAGACTGATCGAAATTCATTCAAAAATATTAACAATACTTTACAAATGAAATAAAATTTGTAGTCTAACAGACAAAAGGGTAGTCGTAATATTTTAGTTCCAATCTTTTCTGGTCAGATAATCTACTTTCTTGACACAAATACCAACTTGTTATTTTGACATATTAAACTGGTTGAATTTCTTTGTTCATTCTCTTAAAATATTATTATTATATTGCTGCCAACCTCCTCATTCATAAACTTAAGTACATTGTACCTTTTTGAAGGAAGTAACGTTTTTTCTTAAATTCACCTATGAGTGTTTCGCTATTATAATATTTCTCCTTTTTATTGATTACAATTCAGTGTGACTCATGTATGAAGTCCAGAATTTTGTATTAAGTGGAATTGGGTTTGAACACATCATCTACAAGTCGAAAGATAAATGCTTTAACCACTTACCTACTCCTAGCTGTACCTGCTACCTTGACCTGGTGGTCGGGTTTACATATCATGGTGATCCAATAGAGAGATATTGGCTTGGAAATTCGTTCATATAGGTCCTGTTTTGTTAAGAAGGTTGGTTGGAGAGTAGTATGACTAAAGGCAGCAAAATCGTCGACTGTATCATACCATAAATTAGAAAATAACGATTATACATGATCAAGCCCAAAGTGGCTGTGATTGTAAGAAAATGTGACCAATAGATTGAGAATAGTAGATCATATAACAGTAATCAATAGGTCAAATAAAAGCTTATAATGAAAGGAATATGAATATGCATTTACTATAGTTACTTAATAGTCATACAATAAGAATATTCGTATAATATTAGTCCATAAGTCCCGACCGTTGCTGCTACCTTGACGTGGTGGTTGGGCTTGCCTATCGTGATGAACCAATCGAGCTATACTGGCTGGAACAATTGTTCCTCAAGGTCCTACCATGCCAGGCAGGTCGGTTGAAGAGCGGTAAGACTAAAAGCAGCAAACCCAAGGTCCGAAGGCGTAGTCGTACTGTTGACTGTACAGAGGTGTAGTGCCAGTAGGGTGTTTCTTTCAGATAACCAACATAACAGCGACGCTGTACTCCCACAAAGGAAGGGTAGAGTTAGAAAAGGTCGACCCTAAAAATGTACACTTTGTCTTATCCCACGGATATCCGTCTCCGGCGGTAAGATCACAACAAGTACGGAGCTAACACAAAAAGGTCGTGGGTGACCGACCTCAAGCAGTTGTCCCTTGAGTACTACGGTCACGCTCTCAGGTCACTAAGACCACCTCTAATCCAATTTCCTTTCAGGGTACCTCCAGAAGAACCCTTACACGTTGTGGGCAACTGGGAAGTGATAATCGCCCTCATACCTCTAACTAGTCCATAAGTAATTCCTAACAGTTACTATTCATTTATTCTCGTTCGGATATAATAATTTAGTGTAGTGTTTCTTTTAATTATATTAAATAAACATTCATACTGGATATTGGGTACATGTAAACTAGCCAAAAATGTTATTATTAATACATGATTGGTTAATTTCATCATTATGTCATAATACACGATCGATAAGTGCTGATTTCAGATGTAATAATCTGTCTTTGTTTCCCTCATTTCTTCATCCTCTGAAATTTAATATAATAAATTTTGTGGAAATTTTAACTATTAGTGTTTTGTAGTTACGAAATGTCTTCTTTGCTTACTGGAATTTCAGTGATCGTAGAGATATTCTTTATCTGTTTCTTTATCTGTAGAGATATTCTTTATAAAAATTCTCTAACTACATAATATTTAAATTTAGTTGGTATTGTTTACTTGAATCTGAGAATTGATGTTTAGGACTGCAATTGGTCAGTCTTTTATATGCATACGTGCATGCTGTGCGTATTGCTTCGGTATTACCTTAACTCATAAGCATTATAAGCAAAGGTGGACAGTGGCTAGCAATGGAATCCAGGACACGCGTTCTGTCCTATTTGGGACTCTTCAGCTGGATGTACTTGCATCTCAGAGTTGATGTTCACTCCGGGATAGCGCGATGGCGTTTGAAGCGAACGGTACTGGGCCCGGGTTCCGGAGTAAACATCAACTCTGAGATGCAGGTACATCCAGCTCATGAGTCCCAAATAGGACAGAACGAGTGTCCAGGATTCCACTGCTAGTCACTATCCATCTTTGTTTACATAATATTTATCTTATAATTTGTTTAAGTTCCGAAAAAAGTCTTATGCGGATGCACATAACTTTTTACAGTAACAACGATATAACTTAAATTTTATACATAATCTGTATAGTTTTGCTATTTGGAGTAAGTGATAAAAAACAAACATAGATACTTGTCATTGTATTATTGAAGGCCAGAGAACACTGCAGATCTGGTTCGTTTCAACATGGAACTTTCCAGAAATGGACACTCATGACTTTGAGGCTCAAACCTAAGACCCTTGGGGAGCGCTTTGCTTCTGGATTATTGAATTATCCTACTGCGGTTCACATTTTCAACTTCAATAAGTTCACTACGTATCGAGACATTCTTCAGCGCCTATTGTTGGGTAACTGCCTCGGTATGGGGATGGTTGAACCCCACTAGCCATGCCCTCTCACTGGGACGTCAGCCATTTAACTCAAAACTATTGTTTAGCGCTCCCTAATTTCAGTGTTTCCATAGCTGATATCAATCGGCGACATAAAACTAAATTCAGTTCAAAATAATCTGTGCAGATCTGTCAACTAAACACGAGTATATTTATCTTCCTATTTATAAACACTACTTATCACCCCATCATCTTGTCACAAATATGTCGTAATTTGGGTTTCTAAATCACAAACTAACTTTAGTTAGACCACCATTAAAAACGTAGAAACAATGGACGGCCATTTCATCTCAGTATGGTACTCCTCAACAGTGTTCATCCACAACTTATTCTAGACCACTGAACCGGGATCCAACTGTGTTAATAACTAACTCCAATTAATTCTTGGTATTGTGCAACTATCTTTTATTACCTGCAGAGGGTGACTGTCTCACACTTGACATGAGCAGTCCGATATTAGGACGAGACATCTATCCAATTCTTCTAGGTCTTTAATGACAGTCTAACTAAGATCAATTCATGACTTATTAAAACTATGAAAATTTAAGTTTTGTTGACTCAATAAAAGCACCAGCAGATAACCAATTTCAATTCATCATATTGGCAAAAGCGAATCGGATTCACAAGGCTCGATTGGCTTTTGCCAACGTGAGTCAATTGTAGTGTAGGCGTGATATCCGTCTTCCAAACAAAGGGTGAATTTACCGCGCAGCAATTTGCTCCGTTCTACTCTATGGATGTGAACCATGACCATTAAGATTAGATTATGTTCGTAGGTTACTGGTATTCAATTATTGATGTCTTCGAACCATCGCTCGCGTATTTTGGACCACTGAGTAAGACAATAGTTGGGTTACTAATAGGGTTATAGCTAAGGATGGAAAGTCGATTGATAAGGTAGTAAATTTACATCAAGTGAGGGGATCGGAACATGTGTTACGTATGTCCGACTACCATCTACTTCGACGGGGGATGTTGTGTGATGTAGGAGGAGGTTGGTAGAAAGCTAATGGCAGCCAAACCAAAACATAGAGTCAATCCATGAAGTTACTGACAGTTGAACTTAGCCATGTCAACAGATGTCGACTATTTGGTTGGAGTTCGAGTAATCATCGTAACCAGTGGTTGGAGATTTTGAACGACATTACTCAAAATCGTTTCGAATGGTGCAGGTGCATCCATTATTTGTCTTCCCCTAAATTCTGCGGTTCTACATTTCTCATAAATTTTATTTTTGTTTTTAATTCAGTAAATGCATTCACTTTTCTAGTCAGAACTTTGGTGTCTAATGTTTCTTATTACCACTAATACTGTTACTACCTCTACTATTGTGGGATTCGGCCTAATAAGTTCATCTGTATATGCTAATGGGGTATTGGAACTTGAATTAATGTGCAGACGTACCAAGTTATACACTGTGACTGAATGATTTCAAGAGAAAGTTTATGCTTCTTAAACTCCAGATTTCATTTCATTTTTCATTTCTAATGAAATAGACTACTTGGGATCTATATCAAAAACTCCTAATTGTTTGTTGGGGTAAACCACAACAAATTCAGTCAAAACCAACATCATTTCCGATTGCTGCTTATGCATTACATGATCGTCTGCATGTTGGTTATAGGTGAGATTATTGTTAGTTTTCATTATTGTTTTAATAAAAGGATTTTGTGAAGATTAGTTTAGTTTGTAAGAGGTATTTCTAGTACACACTGATGAGGAATTCTTTTCTAGGATGTAATAACTATCCAGTACTACCTAGTCTTTAGTGATTCGTGACGAAACAGTGGTTTCACATTGCTTATTTTATTTCTATTTGAAAAACGGTTTATTCCAACTTCTTATTTTTGTAAGAAGAAATCTAGGTATCTGAAACGAAAATAGAGTTTATGATGGCCTCGATTATCTGAGAGAGTGACCGAAGGGCTCATGAGAAACTTGTTTAATGTCAAGTACACATGCCCATTTTGTGAGAGAGTTTTAATATATCAGATCTGTACTTCCCAAACTTTGCATTCTGTGACAAAACCCGTGGAACAACATGAAGAGTGCTATTTCAAGAGTTGACCTTTACTAAACTCTACCTTTTGTTGCAGAAATGCAACATCGTTAAAGTTGCTCGTTATCTATAGGAAAGATCTTACTACTACCACAACCCAGTACAATCGGCAGTACGAATTTATCTTCGGACCTTAGACTTATTGTTTTTGATCTTTTCTGTATCTAACCAACCAGCTTAAAATGTTCAGACAATTTTGTGATACAAAACGGTTTCTTACCTTCAAAATGCTTCACTAATTTTGCTTCATGACTAACCATTTGGTATTCTTGTTGTATGAATAATTATTTTGTTTCTACTACTGGTCATTACTATATCGATATTTATCGACCGATCACTTTCTTCTATTACCGAACTCTTCAGTTAAAAATACATTCCAAACAAATTTACGTTTCGAACTTGGCTTTAGGTGACAATATTATCCATGGATATAAGCCAATAACTAGATGCATTACCAGTTACAACTACATAAAATATAACACAAAGGTTTTAGTTCTTCGTGGATCTGACTCCGATTAGATCGTATGATGATATTAACGAAATATAAATGCTGCCAATCTTCGTATATAATTATCGACTTAATTCGTGTTAGAGAATAACAAAATAAAATTTCTCATATATGAGAATGAATTTTGGATAAGTATATTTCATAAACTTGTTAGTCCAGACAGACAACCAGAGAAACAAAGTAGAGAAGCAGACCGGAGAAGGCAAATACGACAACTCCCATCAATAAAGCGTGACTTATTATTTATAGCCAGACAAAAATAAGCTAAAGATACATTATAAATAGGGTATGCTATGGACACATGTACGTTCATATAAAAAGTCAAGGTTATAGGTAAGTAGTTGACAAGGTCAAAATGTCACTCAAGAAGAATAAGTAAATTGGTATGCTCAGAAGCTAGAATAAACCATTTGTGGTTGACAGAGCACTAGACGCTACATATTCATCTATTTATAATGAAACAATTTGTTTAATACCACGGAGAAAAGAGATCAACAAATTCTTAAAGATTAGAACAAGAACAAAAGAAATAAATGAAAAGTCATAAAATGTTTAAGATTTTAAAGTTAATTACAATGAAATGAATTCATGTAATTGTAATTGGTTCAAAGTCATGTTTCATAAACTCCATTCAATAGGTCTTCATTTTCTTCAAGGATTAAAATGCACAGCCAATAACTTCATGATGTAATGTAATTTATCAGTCTATTCGCTTTTAGCACGATTCTTTGTTTATTAAACTGTTTTCTCCATATTACAATACATTTCATGCTTTGTTTCTTAGTCTATTTATGCAGATTGACTAGCGCGTTAAAAACAATCAATCAATGAGACATATGTCCGTACATCTAAGTTGTTTTGGTTTCACGTTTTATTATATTTATGTCTATAGTTCCTAATATGTTTATGTTACTTTAAAGGTGTTTTTTGGCTACATAACCGATTCTTCTAGACAAATATACTTTTATCTTAATATTTTGTACTTTTGTTTGTATTTTTCTGTATAACGTCTTGTCTCCATCCATCCATCTCTGAAGCTTGATTACAGTTTAGCTTTTTGAATAAAATTATGAAATTTTGGCGTGTCTGGTTTATTGGAACAATACACTTGAAGTCTTATAGTTCTTGGGTTAGACTCACTACGTGACAGCAACATACATTGTTTAAGAACTGTGGTTGACTGGTCCACTCAGTCAGATTCCAACCAACAGGGTAAAATCTTATATTTTACGCTCAGTTTAGTATGATCATTCTCATAAACCTTCACTTTAACGTAGTACTTGGGCATTGATATCTCTATGACTAAAACAGTTTCAAGGGTGAAATCGTACTGCTGATTGTACTAACGTATGATGGTAGTTAGGTGCTTCTCTCGGACTACCAGCCTTTCCAGTGATTCTACCTTTTCTCAATGGAGGGTAGAGGTTAGATAAGACCTAAAATAACAGTCCTCATGTTGTCTCACTGGTTTTTATCACTGGCCTTAAGTTTTGAAATGCACAAATGTAACTTACCTAAAACATTTCAAATAACATTCTTGTGTGACCTGTTTCGAACAAGTATCCCTTGAGTTTTATAGTCAAGCTCTCAAGTTTCCAAAACCACCGCTAACCTAGTTTTCTCTACAAACTCTTCAAGGAGAAGGAGTACCCTAGAATAGTTTGTGTAGCGGGGATACGAAAATCAGTTTCATACCCCTAACCGCACATGACATAAACCTTCATAAAGCAAACGTATCTCATACTGACCTTCAACCACTTACGAAAGCTTTATTTATTAGTGAACAGGTATTTGACAACACAATAGACTAATTGTTAGTTCATATGATCTATGTGTTAAGATTTCATGATCACTTTTATAAATAATAAATGTACTTGAAATAACCTGAATTAATGTAATATAATTTTGCTGGAAAACGTAACCAGAAAAAGTCATTTAAGCCACCTTAACTTTGCTCTAGAAGTTGAACGGTCTTCACACAGAATAGTTATGATGCCTCATGTTGTAAGTCAAGATTCTTCGAAAGTCACAAGAACGGTACCCCTTTTGACAACCAGAGCGACAAGTACATGGAATGGTCAGATAATATAGAAGACAAGGAGGACCATTCAAGTAGCTACAGTGATGAGGGAATTCAACCTTGCTTTGATTAGAATATGCGAGACTCATTAGGCACAATTTGAACAGAAAAGATTAGCTTCGGGACAGGTTTTGTTATATTCTGGTAACAAAGAAAGAGAAAATATCTCGGACATAAGAAATTCCACTGGTCCTGTTCAAGGAAGCATGAAAAAACATTCACAGGATGGGAATCTCACCTCTCTAGCATCATCAAAGTATCCTCTAAAACAAAGGAGAAGAGGATTACAATCAATTTCATCCAGTGCTATGCTCCCACAAATGATAGCGGTGTCTTCGATACAGATCAGTTTTATGATAGGCTGGAGTTCATTGTAGAGACCTGTCCACGGAAAAACTTGACCATTGTGATGAGAGATCTGAATACCAAGGTCAATATACAAATATAGGGTACGTGGACTTGAAGAAAGAAACGAGAATGGTGAAAAACTAGCAAATATATGTGCTTTCAACAACATGGTTTTGGGTAGCACTATTTTTCCCTGCAAACTCACACACAAAGCCACATGATTTTCACTGGATCATACTTCAGGAACCAGATCGATCGTATTTGCATCAATAAAAACTTCAGAAGGTCCATGAAAATCATAAGAATAAAGAGAGGAGATGGTTATAGCTTCAAGTAATCACCTAGTGGTGGTCAAAATGAAATTGAAGCTAAAAAAGCATTAAACAAATAGCATTACAAAAGTTTAATTTCTTGACTTGTAATTTCCAAGAGCAGAAAAAAATCGACGCCGAGAATCGAAAGCAGACATCAAGACCATAAAAAGCACTCGTTAACAACTGAAAAGGAGAGCTCAGAACAAAGTTGGTTATAGGTCCCTCATTTGCGGTCTGTACAAGAAGTAACAGGCTTAAGTATTTTCTTGCAAAACAGATAGAGAAATACTTTACCACAGAAATAAAAAATCAACCAAGCAGCGCTTAAGTTTTCATGTAAAATCGCTTGGCTTAATAAAATTGTCCTTTATGCACATTACAGGATGCGTCAAATCTCATTCTTCCCTTACATATTCAACTATATGAATATTTGTTGTTTATTTCATTTTCACTTGTTTCCAATGTTTCTAGACCATCTCCAAATGAAATTTCCAAAAGTCTAAAATTGAAAGGTGTTATTCTCGAAAAACTTGTTCATCATACAATTCTTTCCGAAGGTCCTAAGAAATCCAGTCTTATCAAACTTGAAACAAACAGTCTGTATCGTGGTTTACCTGAAGTATACTTATTATACGAAGGGTGTACTGTTGTCGGAGAAACATTTCAAGTACGTTCGAATGAATGTATGTGTGTTTTGATAAGATTATTTATGAAAGTAGCGTGATGATTGTGGTTATTTGTCAATTTTTATAGCTTTTATTCAGCTTGCTTTTAACTAAACTTTAAGAAAAAAACGGAAGTAACAAGGTGACTACCTTATAACGTCAGTTATTTTCTTGTTTAGAGGTTGTCTACGGATTTACCTTCGAATTCCACCGAAAGAATTATTTCCATGAATATTCTAGATACGCTTTGCTGATTAGGGTCCATTCACACAAAACCCAAGTCTAGGGTTTTTCGCTGACTCCAACCACCTAACATCAAAATAGGGTTCACCCAGTATCGGGTCACTCAGATTGGTGGCCACATTGCAACTTGGTCGATCAAATTCAATCAACACTAAAGACTAGACAAACATGACATTAGCTATCAGTTAGTAACCAAAATAGGTGGATTAATCGATCTATTTAATTACTTTATTCTTGATCGTCAAATTGCGTTATAGCATAGACTAGTCCTGAAGTAACATTCTGTATCTGTTGGATGCGAACTCTGACCCAAATATTAATTCATTATTATCAAGATTATTGAGAAGAGTTTACATTTCTCCAATATTTTCATCAAATATATCTTTATTATTGACGAGGCATGATGATTATACTTATTTTCAGAGTTTATCTGGTTTTCTGATATCTATATATTTTTAGTTACAAGGGGTTTTCATAGTGATTTACTTTACATTGTTAATTTTTATTGATAATAAACATTTATTTCATATTTGTATATCCATCTTCTAGCGCTCATTTTCTCTAGAGAAATTAATCTTACTTTATACCTTTCTTTCTACGAGCTAATTCTTTCTCCCTGTATGATATCTTTATATGCAATCTTTTTTTATATATTATTACCATTGAAGTAACTGCTGCTATGAATTTGGTGTTCAGTTTGTTATGCTAATGAGGTATGGTAAGTTGGACCGATGCATATATGTGTCTGGTCCTACGTTGTAGATGACTGACTGACTGTTATTCCTGTGAACATTGTCAAAATGTAGGAAAATAACTAAATGAACAAAATATCCCGACTATTTGACTAGTTTTAGTTGTGTATCTTTGCTTAATTTCCATTTATATTCATTTATTTTCGAATGAAATAGCTAATAAAAATAATTAGTTACTTATAATTTATACCTTTTGTTTAGGCTTCACGTCTTGTGAATACTGGGATATCACCTATTGTCTTACCACCTAGTAAAATTCGCTTAAACTATTCTATACCACTAGAACAACGTCAAATTCTTGGTCAATCCGATACTAATTTAGAAGATATACCAGTTCATATCCATCGTTCCCATTTATATTTACCTATACCATTTTATATGAATTCCTCAGATTTATGTATCAAATCCTATGTTAAAAAGCTTTCACATCTTTTCAAAACCAAATCTGGAAGTTTTTCGTTAAAATCTTGTAATATATCATCAAAACCTAGTCCCTTATCATTATCTTGCGTTAAGCAAGAAATTAATAATGATACAATACCGAAAACAAAGACAACAACCAATAATAATAATCGTATAATTAATTACTACTTTCTAACATGTCATTCATATGAATTACCTGATTATTTTTCTAATACTTTAGATCGTCTTGGAATTGAATTTGATTACGCTGATTGGTTAAAACAAAACATTGTAACTAATTGTAATAGTGATAAAATTATAAATAAAATTACCTAAATTATTTAATTTTGTCATCTTTCTTTATACTACTGATAATTTCCAACTGACAATATGTAATAAACTATTATCATTACTGTAGTAAAAGTATTATTGTATATTTATGCTAAAATTACATAAGATTATCGATATCTTAGTGATCGAATCTTAAGAATTAGAACCGATTAGTAATAAATTCCAATACTTTGGAAGTCACATAGGTATTTATCATGAACCTTGATCATACAAATAGTTTGGTTCAAAACCGAATAAATCAGTTCATGCTTAAAAAAAGAATAAATTTATTAAATATTCCTATTGTTTTAATACCATTTATTTAGATGTCGATTTTATATTTAGTTTAAATAGATTTTATATTACTGTAGAACCTTGATTAGGAATATCAACATTTGGTAAAATGGCGAATTCACATTTTCTTCAACTCTTTGTGACGTTTTATAACATCAGCACTATTCCTAAGTGTGACATTTTGACATTGGTTTTATTCGGAATGTAGCATTTTAGTAACTATGCTATTGGTTTTATGTTTTCCAGTGTAGCATTCATTTAAGGTACCTTTTAAGTGTGAAATTTGTTCAGGAATAGCAAGTGTTAACTTCTGTCCAGTATGACAATTCCATGTGGACCTCGTTTATGTTTAACAGTAAGGCTGTTCATCTTCCCATTTATAAAATTTTTATTTACAAATCATCAAGTGTGTAAGATCTGCATATAAATGAGTGTATTTGGTTTAATAACAAAGTGATTTTGAACGACTTGTTTTGCAATCGTATTCCTGAGAGTTTGTAAACCGTAATCTTACAAATCTTTGTGTTGGTGCTTTGCTCCGTAAGAATTACAGCGATTCCCGATTGTCAATTATAAACAGTAATACCACGGGCACAATCGAGCTGAAACATAAATAAAAATGGTACGTGTATAATAAGGAACTAATTAAAAAATTATTTCTTCAGTCAACTTGTATTTTCAATCTAAAGTATCTAAATCGCTACATTGAAACAAGTATGATTTTAACATAAATACAAACAAAAATCATGTTCTATTGTACCGCTTTCTAATATTCTCCCTTCCGGAATACGCGTCTACATTATTTAAATCTATGGTCGAATTCCTGACAGAATCGGTAAGCGAGTTCATGAAGTATTCACTGCATAAATCTCAAAATAATATATTCTTTTAAAGCTTGCTATGATGAACGTGGTATGTGGAATATCGAACAAATTTATCCCAATTTCCAAAACACTTTTCTAGTATGTATTTGTTTTAGTCTATCCGAAATTCAGTTTTCTGATATCTTTGTCTTCCCACTTATTTGTCTTAATGAAACTTTATAGCTAACTGGATTTTGCTATGTCTTTGTCACTAACGGCGTTCGAGTCAGATTGTACTATAAAAGTCAATTGTCAAAAATATTCTTACTGCTGTCACATATTTCTTTACACAGTGATAGCTAAATATATCCCAAAATGAAATCAATGGTTTGCGAAATAAATTTAGAAATACCCTTATGATAAAAAAACAATCATGGATTTATAAGTACTCCGCGTCAATCATATCGTAGAGTTGTCCAATGGAACTAACTACGAAAAATCATATTTCTTGGAAAAATAAAATATCAATATGTCACATGTTCGACCTTCAAGGCCAAATCTAGCCAAGGTTGTCTGCACTGCTTTTTTATTTTAAATATCAAGCAAAATGATTGATGGAAATAATTTTGTAAACAATTGACGTCGGTTTTTTGATTGCCAGCTTATTGAGTCTTTGTTGTTTCAGAATGCTCTGAATAATTTTGTTTTTGAAACAGTAATATTTATATGCATATACGAAATTAATAAACCAATCAAGGCAGTTTATGAGTCAATGATAACAGTGGGATAGATTACATAACTAAAAATAATAATAAGTGGAAAGTACAAGTTGGTAGTGTAATGACAGGTGTACTAATTGTGATAAGATTAATAAAGGCTTGAATCAATGTTGCATAATAGGAAATAGGTCAATGATTAGAAAAATATAGACGCTGAAATAACATTCATAAAATTACAAGATTACGTAATAAGAAGTGTTCAGATAATTGGACCGTGAAGCGAACATTTGAAAAAAAAATAATAAATGAATAATTGGTAGGGGGGTGAAGAAAAATAAACGAATAAAGAGTATGGAAAGTAAAATTATTTATGAAGGCCAAGGGAGATAAGGGTGTTACAAATTACAATCAATCACGTAGCACATCATCAGCTAAATCGCCGTTGAATTGCAGTTTCAGGAAGAGAGGTTTCTTGGCAGGTGTTGATATATTTATTTTCTTATTTGTTACACGCAAGTGTTTCTTCAGGAAACCTTGTGGATAACCCCTTTCAATCAACATATTATGCATGATCTCTAACTCCTTGTTAATTGAATCGACTGAGCATATCTTCCTAGCTCTATTTGCCAGACATTTGACTAAGTTTCTTTTATAATGAAGAGGTACAAAGCTTAAGAAGTGTGTGTACTGGCTTGATCAAGAACTTTTCCAAAACACACTTCTACTGATAGAACCGTTTACTTTTTTGTCTAACAAAACTTTAAGGAAATTTAGTTTATTATCTAGTTCCTCTTCACATGTAAATTTAATTGCTGGGTGTTTGTTGTTAAACGGCTCTAGTAGTTCTTCTTTTCCAATGTCCTGATCAACAATAATGAAAGTATCATCAACGTACCGACAATAGAAGTCAAGGTTATTGATAACATCTTTGAGGGGTCCATTTTTTGTTTCGCAAGAAAAAAATCAGCAAGGATAGGACCTAGAGGTGAACCCATCGCTATACCATCAATTTGTCTATAATATGTGTTATTAAACACAAAATGGAGATTCATTGTACTTTTCAGAAACAATTCTTTAAGACTAACCTCGGGAATTCCAACATTGATTTGTTTTTCAAGTAATTGTTGCCACACAAAATCAATAGTCTCAGTTAGTTGCACATTGGTGAACAGGGAAGCAGCATCTAGAGATATCATCCGTTTCCCATTTAAGATCATATGTTCAATCCTCGAAATGAAATCGAAAACCTCTTTCACGCTTCTGTTGACGACTAGTTTGTGTAAAGGTTGTAGGATTCCAACTAGCCACTTCACAGCTTTATGGTAAAATGAATTATACATATCTAAAACCGAACGAAGAGGAAGACCTGCCTTGTGAACTTTGGGTAGACCATTTAGTCGTGGTGTGTTCGATCCAGTTGGTTTAAGTGAATCGTGTATAGTTGGAGTAAGTATTCCTTTATTTTTTAATTCCTTGAGTGAATTAGTCAGCATTTTCTCTATTTTCATATTTATGTCTTTCATGTCGTTGAGTTTTTGAAATTTAGTCGTGTCATCCAAAATCGAGTTCATTTTATCGATGTAATCGGCTTTGTCCATTAGAACTAGCCCTCCTCCTTTGTCCGGCTTGCTCATGATTAGAGTGTTATCTTTTTTAAGCATATGTAAAGCATCTCAATGCTGTTTGGTAAGTGGATTTTTTTACATTATAATATTTATTTTTGTATTGTTGACAGAAGTCCACCAATGTGGTCTTAAACCTAGTAAGTTCATCGAGAGATGTAGGGACCAAATCTGTTGTTTGTGTAAATAAGTTTTCAAACTGCACATCTGTATCAAGTTGATCTATTTTATTCCTATAGTCACAAAATCTAGAGCCGAGAGACAAAGCCTCTAATTATACTATGTCCAACGTAACACTAGAAAAGTTATGAACGTATCGCTCAGGGTCCATAGGAAATTTTCTTTCAGGTTTTTGATGTTCCAGTGACTGGATTAGTTTTGTCTCTAATTTCTCTGATCTACTTTTCGCTACCATGTTAGTATAATCCATAAATTGTGATTTTATTTCTGGTGGTAGGTTATCGACCGTAGATCCTCTTTGTGAAAGATTTCTTTCCAGATTGTTTATGTACATTTTTAATGAATCTGTCTGGTTGATTGCCTGTCATTTAAGGGTTCGAGAATTAGGATAAATTTTGTTCCGGCTTAAAGATTTCCAATATGTTTTATGATATCTATCAGTCCGTATACAATCATTAATAAACTCCAATGATGTTTTCGCTTCTGTGAGACGAGCATTAAACTTCAGAAACTCATTGATTACCTTAAATGCAATCGGATCCCCACGTGATTTCAAAAGCCTGATGAGGATCTAATCGAAAACAATATGGTTCGCTTATATATGATGTTCTAAATCACAATATGGGAATTTTTCAAATTTCGAAATATGGTTAATTCTCTGTATGTTTGAATTATTTTTCCAGCTAGTTTGGCATATGGTAATTCAAATAATACTTCAAATTTCTATCTGAATAAAATTCTCTTCAACTTTTTAACTGGGATTATTTGGTTTCATATAGCCATAATGTTTTTTTTTCATACTTACTAGTGATTAAAAAATAAAACTAGATTTTAGTCACAGAATTTTCATTTATCAGGATGGCATATTGGTGTGACAGGAACACCTTGTTACTGGTTATTCGATTTTGAAGTGGAACGATGAATTTTGTATGAAAGAAAGTATTTAATTTTATTAAAATGAGGGATGTTTATTAAATAATGATTCTGATATGCAAAAAAGTCCATTGAAAAGCTTTCTGCATGTTTGAGAACTCATAAAAATTTAAAAACTTTTTACTTTAAATGAGCTGCTTCAAGGAATTTATGGTATTAAATCAATCTATCAACTTATTAGGCAAATGATTCCTTAAGTAGTTTCTTTCTAAAAGTCTTCACACTACTATATATTTGCATAAGTAGTTAACATGAAGATTACTTCGAATATATGTTATAAAATTTGGGGTCAAATAGAAAGTAAAGACAAAAAGCACTAAACAAGTAGTAGACTTGTATTCATTTAGTTACGACATCTAAAACGATTGATGGAGATCATATTTACGCCTAAGCCACCAAATCTATCATAAATAATCATAGGTGAAAATAACTTACTTGAAATCCTGATCATGAGA